TACTTTTTTAAGCGCTGCACTTTGATGTTTTATGGTTATATTGATATTTTGAAGGCAGTGTGGTTGCCTTTAGTGTTCTAGCTGCTTTATTTATAAGAGCGCTCACTATCTTTTAATCTGCTTGTGTCCTGTTCCATCCACTCTCAAGTCACACCTGTGTTTGTCATCTCAATCTAAAGACTTTCAGGATTGCATATACTTGTATTTGGCAAAGATAAACCATTATTTCTTAGCTAATTGGAGAGACTTCCAGGATTTCAATATATCTGGCATGAAGCTACCAGCACTGTTGGATGTCTATAAAGATTTTTAGAATTCCATATATCTGGCAATGAATCAACCAGCAGCAAATCAACGGAGCACATCAGAACTAAAGAAAACATGTCCACTCTCCAGAGGACAGTAGCAAAAATTAAGGCATGATGGTTGTGGGTGGGCTTATTCTGTACTGGCAAAAAGCTTTTTCTTGTTGCCAGTGTCCATTTCATTTTTGGGAGGCAGTATACACAGCAGTCTATGAATTCTAAGAATTCCTGTGTGCTTCAATTGACAAAAAAGTCATGTATTTTTGTTTGTCCCGGTTGGTGAGATTTACTATTACTAACTGACAGTGGTTCTAACCATAGACTGCTATATCAAAAACAAACTAAAAAGTCCTTATCTGTCACTTACTGTAAAACTTTCCATCAAATACTTTCGGAAAATATTCATTTGCATAGGGCTAAACATGACTATACAGGGTTCACATTTGCAAGAGGCCACTCACACCTTAAGCAATGTATTGCAGGAAGAGGGGTGTGTACCTTGTGTCTCATATATAGAAGTACTGTTGAGTTTTTGATGGCGTTCCGATGCAGGATCGGATTGTAGTTAGAACTGGCACTGGGAAGGCAGAACAGGCATTTTAGGGTGCATGCAGAACCTTTTTTTTTTTTTTTTTTTTTTTATTTAAAGCAAATTAACCAAGCAAAATAAGTACTTACATTTTTGTAAGCCTTTGACAATTTCTATGTAATTGGTCCTTATGATTGTGTTTTCAATGCAAGATATTAGAACTTGGGTCACTTTTACAATGTAATTCCTTTGAAGCAAACTATTCTATACCTTTGGACTTGCAAATGATTTATTAGTATTAAATGCTTTACTTTTTGAAGTCATAAATATTACTAACTATAGATTTCTTTGAAAACTCACATCTCATTTCTGGCTTGAAAAGCGTGACACATTTTCAATATAAAATGACAGATGATTTAGAAAGAAATGCCAACATGTTAGCTTATAAATGGTTTGGGATAACAGTACTAAAACCTTGTATTCTAACAGGGTCAGATTCAACATTTTTCCTTATAGAACACCTCTCTGTCAATGACATATTAACTCTGTTATATTGCCACAAAAAAAACAAACAAACAAAGGAGACAGGTTGAAAATAAAGACACTAAGAGAGAGAGTGCAGCCAAATCTGAGTATGTACATGGACCATTTGGCTAATTAAGTGGTTTAGCTGCTTGTACACAAAACACACACACACACATATATATATATGTATATATTTCAACACATCTATACTTAAAACTCTACATGTACATGGCTCTAATAATCGCAACAGAAAACCAGCATTTGATGTTAGGAGGCTAATTGAAAATAATGTTTTTATTTTCTAATTAAATATTAAACACAAGCTGTTGCTATTATATGTAGTCTTGCATGCAGCAATGGAGGATCCACTGTACAATTAGAACAGGTTGCATAGAATAGGTGAAAGAATAGACCCTCCAGAGATCTGACCTGTAAATAGAAAAACAGATGACTGCATTGTCAGGGTAGTACTATGATCTCTTTGAGTGATAATTGACACCTATAAGTGTCACACCTACACATATGTGCAAACAAATTCCCATGGCAACTAGGTAAGAATGATATCACAGGCCTTCAGGTGAGATCCTCAGAAGTCTGGGGATCTCAAATCTCATGAAAAGAACTTTCGCAAAGTGCAGGAGCACCTTCAAGCAAGATTTGGGAATCTCACCAGAATACCAATGACATCACCATCACTTAAGATTCACAGGTAGGAGCTGGGGTGTAAGATAAACATTTGTATTACACTCCTAATGATTGTATGGGTAAGGCCACATTTTTATTCCTTAGTCTAAAGAAAATATGGACCTTTCATTTTGATATAAGGTCCACTTTAAGCTGTCTTCCAAAGTTTCAAAAAATGTACAAGAACTTCTCAAGTGAACAAAAATTTGGTAATTTTTACAAATGAACTATGTACCATTTCAGTACCTCCACTGTACTAGCTTGCTCTTCACTGTATTTGTAAGCCCCATTCACATTTTTAGTACAGGATGTAAGATAGTTGCCATGAATTTTCACAGAGAAAGACATAATTACCTATATGACTTTGTATAAGAAACTGGTGCTTAGAGCTTTTGTTGATTCATTTGCCATGCACTGTGATATCACCCATAGCTGTGAATTAATGTGTTCGCAATCTACGCAGAAACATCAGAGAGGGAGGAAAAAAAAAAACATGTGTGGTACTGCTTCAGAGAAGCTGTGAACTCAAAGACATGCTGTGTAATGGCAATCTTCAAAAGTTTTCCTCCACCTAGTTTACTTCTAAGCAGTTGTTTGCATTGAGTGAAATGATGGAATTCAAAAAAACACAATAACACAAAAGCTTACTAAGAAATAGTCCGTAAGACTGACAAACACTATTATATTCAGATCAGGTCTGGTCTAACTTTTTTTTTTGTTATGAAATTCTTACAGAAGCATGCTGCAGTCAATAATTCTTATAATTAGTAAAACGATGGCACTGCATAAAAATAAAGTCTTGAAAAACAGCAAACAGCGATTTGGTCAGCTAAAAGAAAAGCTTTTTTTGCTGCCAGAAATGTTTTGTTTTTTATTTTTGTGCACACATACTAAAATTCACTTTTTTCTTATTACATAAAAACACAGTTAAAGTGGAGCAAAATCTATCCATACTTTACCAGTCCAACAATCACTTGCCGGTATCAGCATCTTCTTTTAAGTTTCGGTCCTCAGGCCTCTTCATTGGCAGACGTCGAATGACATCAGCTCTGTGCATGCATCCCAGCTCTCTGAGACTGTAAGCTGAGCTGTGCCAGAGAAGATGGCAAGCAGGCAGGTAGGGGCATTTTATTGCAGAAGAGACATTGCATGTCTCTTCTATAGTAAAAGTCAGCCTGCTCCATATTTCTTACAGAGGAACTTTAGTTCCACTGTAACTTCAAGGGGTTTGAAAAGCCTCCATATGTGATAGCATAGTGCAGAAGACAGACTACCTTTAGGAAACCAGGTCTATTGAGCATTAATGTACTCCCTGCACTCAGCTTAAGCTGATCAAGCACATACTGTGCTTAGTCACCAGAGAGCGAGCAGCCCATTAGAAATGTATAGAATCAATTGCCCACCTAGTAAAGCCAATATAAAGTGCAACACCAGATGTGACTTTTTTAACCATTTCAATACCTGGCACTTTTACCCCCTTCCTGCCCAGGCCAATTTTCAGGTTTCAGCGCTCTTTACACTTTGCGCGGTCATGCAACACTGTACCCAAACTAACATTTTATCATTTTGTTCACACAACTAGCGCTTTCTTTTGCTGGTATTTAATCATCACTGGGGTTTTTATTTTTTGCTAAATTAACAAAAAAAGACTGAAATTGTTGAAAAAAAAACACAATTTTTCTTTGTTTCTGTTATAAAAGTTTGCATTAAATAATAATTGTTATTCATAAATTTAGGTCAATATGTATTCTGCAACATTTCTTTGGTGAAAATAACCCAAATCAGTATTTATTATTTAGTCTGTAGGAAAGTTATAGAGTTCACAAACTATGGGATCTATCTGAAAATTGACCAATCCTGAAGTACTGACAGCAAATATAATTTCTTGAGGCCCAAAAATGTCAGAACAGTACAGATATCCCCCAAATTACCCCTTTTTGCAAAGTAGACAGTCCGATGTGTTTCATAAGAGGCATGGCAAATTTTTTTAAGTTGTAATTTTATAGTGACAATTTTTTTGGAAAATGAAGAAATTAAAAGAAATGTTTTCACTTCTTTTTACATACTGTCACCAGTGCAGTACATCATATAACTGGTGTGGTGGTGACACTGACTGGTGACAGTACGAAAAAAAAAAAATTATAATTTATTTTAAATTTTCTTTTTTTTTTATTAAATTTTTTTCTCTTTTTTAAAGATTTTTTTTCATATTGCACTATGACCAAAGTAGTATAATGTTACTATAGTAACATTGTACTACTTTAGGGAAGTGATCAGTTTTGTTTTTTTTTTTTATACACAATTTGATTGATTATAGCTAAGAAATTCTTTGCTATAAGCAAGCATTTAACTGAATGAAATGGATTCATTCAGGGTTTTTTTGTTGTGATTAGCTGTGATAGACCATGGATAATCACATGACACAGATGGGCTGTGATTGGCCCAGCCTGTGCATGTGATAGCTGTGACCATTCACAGCTAGACACACATGTATACAATGGATGGCATTAAAGGAAGGCATCCATTGTATACAATTGTCATGTGACCTGCTGTGATTGGTCATCTCAAAGGTGTTCTATCGGACTGAGGTCAGGACTCTGTGCAGACCAGTCAAGTTCCTCTACCCCAAACTCGCTCATCCATGTCTTTATGGACCTTGCTTTGTGCACTGGAAGGGGCCATCTCCAAACTGTTCCCACAAAGTTGGGAGCATGAAATTGTCCAAAATGTCTTGGTACGCTGAAGCCTTAAGAGTTCCCTTCACTGGAACTAAGGGGATAAGGCCAACCTCTGAAAAACAATCCCACACCATAATCCCCCCTCCGCAAAACTTTTTAGTTGGCACAATGCAGTCAGACAAGTACTGTTCTCCTGGCAACCGCCAACCCAGACATGTCCATCGGATTGCCAGACACTGAAGCATGATTCGTCACTCCAGAGAACATGTCTTCATTGCTCTAGAGTCCATTGGCGGCCTGCTTTACTCCACTGCATCTCACGCTTTGCATTGCACTTGGCGATGTAAGGCTTGGTGCAGCTGCTCGGCCATGGAAACTCATTCCATGAAGCACTGTTTTTGTGCTAATCTGAAGACCACATGAAGTTTGGAGGTCTTTAGCGATTGACTCTGCAGATGCAGACAGTTGGCGTCTTCTGCGCACTGTGCACTTCAGCATGTGCTGACCCCGCTCTGTCATTTTACGTGGCCTACCACTTCGTGGCTGAGCTGCTGTTGTTCCCAGTTGCTTCCACTATATTATAATACCACTAGCAGTTGACCGTGGAATATTTAGTAGCAAGGAAATTTAACGGATGGGCTAATTGCTCAGGTGACAACCTATCATGGTACCATGTTTGAATTTACTGAGCTCCTGAGAGCGACCCATTCTTTCACAAATGTTTGTAGAAGCAACCTGCATGAATAGATGCTTGATTTTATACACCTGTGGCCATGGAGGTGATTGGAACACCTGAATCCAATGACTTGGAGGGCTGGCCCAATACTTTTGGCAATATAGTGTTGTTTTAGCACCTACCTATTCATGTTTATATGTGCTTAAGTGTATTTCACTTTTTAGGGGCAGCTGTCAAGCTTTATTGCCGATGTATTACGGGCTTAAATTCATTTATCATTTATTGTTTGAACACACAATCACATAGGCGGCACAATATTCTAATTTATTTATTTTTAAGAACTACCATCACAGCAGGCTATGTATTTTCAAATGGGGTCACACAGGCAAGCCTGGACTGACTTGCTGTGCATGATTATTATATTGGAAGAGTGGTTGACAGCAACTCTTTGTACATAGTGTAGGAGTTGTCAAGAGTACTTGACAACAGAGTTGGACAGAAGAGACAGAAAGTAACATAAGGCAAAAATTAAATCCCTGGTATGTAGCTATCGCTTTGTGTCTGCGAAGTGCTAACAGTTTAACCACATAACAACACCCCCTATCATGTTTGTTTTGTTAATGGACAAGAAAGTGTCAGCCTTATGACATAGGAACTCCAAAAGATACCTTAAATTAAAGGGTTAGACAAAATAAATGAAGACACTACATGATCTGCAGGTGTGAAAGTGACAACATGTTTAGGGTTGAAAGCAGAAGTGATGTAACATTCTTCTGCTTCTGCTGTGTGAGGAGACACCTAGCACACAGGTGAGAAGCCTCACTTTGCATTTTTTTGTTTCCATGTTTTGTCTAACCTGTGTGTGTGTGTGTGTGTGTGTGTGTGTGTGTGTGTGTGTGTGTGTGTGTGTGTATATATATATATATACACACAAAAAGTCAATGTGTAGTGAGGTATAAATGAGCAGCTAGCACAAAGTGGTAAACCCTCTTTTTCCACTACATAAACAGATAAATAAAGGTGCAGCGCTAATAAACAAACAAAAAATATATGTGTAAATAATATTCACTATCATAAAGTCCAATATTGCAGTGTCCAACAATACTGTGTGCATCAATAGTGACCAGTGATATAAAGTGTCCAGCAATACTGTGTGAATCAATGGTGACCAGCGATGTAAAGTGACTTCTGTGAAAAACCTCCACCACTATGCACTCACCAGAAGCAAGAAATAAACAGGCTCTGTATAGAAATCCCTCCCAAGGATGTATCCATCCACTGCAAGAAATAGGGCTATCACCAGATGACCTCCACTGTAGTATGGGCAGCTAGCACAAAGTGGCAAGCCCTCTTTTTTCACTACATATAGTGACCAGCGATATAAAGTGTCCAGCAATACTGTGTGAATCAATGGTGACCAGCGATGTAAAGTAACTTCTGTGAAAAACCTCCACCACTATGCACTCACCAGAAGCAAGAAATAAAGACTCTGTATAGAAATCCCTCCCAAGGATGTATCCACCCACTGCAGGAAATTACCAGATGATCTCCACTGTAGTACGGGCTCTTATATGTGCATTCTTGCAAATGAACCTAACCTGCGCCAGTCAGTGATCAACCCAGATATGGCACCCCCTGAAGAAACAGCTCCACATGAATGTTGCAGCAAAGTTCATTTGCAGGGGTCCCTTAGGATGATCATGATGTGGCATCCATCATTGTGTCAGAGACCAGTTCTGATGAGAGATGAAAAGAATTGCCTGTCCCAGTGGGAAGTCCTTCAGTCATGCACAGTTTTACAGGTTCCTCTCTTGTTCTGGAATGCTTACTCTGATTTCACTGCACACTTACCACACACCATTATAAATGTTTAGGCATTCTCATGTTTAATTATTTTGTTTGTATTGGTATGACACAAAAAGTGGGGAAACAAAAAGCCAAATCTGACACATTCCACCCAAAACTCCATAAATGGACTGGACAAAATTATTAACACCTTCAATTTAGTATTTGGTAGTACACCCCTTGGAAAAAATAACTGAAATCAATTGCTTCCTGTAACCATCAATGAGTTTCTTTCACCGCTCAACTAAAAAACTTTGGACCACTCTTCTTTCGCCAACTGCTCCAGGTCTCTCAGATTGGAAGGGTTCCTTTTCCCAACTGCTGTTTTGAGATCTCTCCACAGGTGCTATATGGGATTTAGATCTAGAGTCATTGCAGGCAAGTTCAGTACTCTCCAGTGCTTTGTCTTAAACCATTTCTGGGTGCTTTTTGACGTGTGCTTTGGGTCATTTTCCTGCTGAAAGACCCATACCACTGACAGAGACCCAACTTTCTGACACAGAGCCCTACATTGCACCCCAGAAATCTTTGATAGTCTTCAGATTTCATAAGGTCATGCACACGGTCAAAACATGCAGTGCTTGAAGCAGCAAAGCAACCCAAAAACATCAGTGAACCTCCACCATGTTTGACTGTAGGGACTATTCTTTTCTTTAAAGGCCTAATTTGTTTCTGAAAAAAGTAGAATGATGGGCTTTACCCAAAAGCTGTAATTTTGTTTCATCTGTCCACAGCACATTCTCCCAAAGGATAATTCTCCTAAAAGGATTTTGGCTTCCTCTAGTAAGTTTTGGCAAACTCCAATCTGGCTTTTTTAAGTTTCTGTCAGCAGGCGGGTCCTCCTGGGTCTCCTACCATAGCGTCCCTTTTCATTCAGATTGTGGTGTATGCAAGCTGACATAGTTGTACCCTGTGCCTGAAGGTCAACTTGAATTTGTCCAGAAGTTGATCAAAGTACTTTATCCACCATTCAAACAATCCTTTGTTGCAATTTTTGATCAATTAGTCTCTTTTGTCCACGTCCAGATAGATTAGCTACAGTGCCATGGGCTGTAAACTTCATGACAATGTTGCGTACAGTGCACACAGGAACATGAAGATCATTAAGATCTACAGCACAACCATTGGTCCTTCCCCTCATGCCAGGATGCTAGGTGTAATCCTAGACTCTGACCTCTCCTTTGGGCTCCACATCCAATCACTGGCTAAATCCTGCCGCCTCAACTTCCAGAACATTTCCAAAATCCGCCCCTTTCTGACCAAAGACACCACAAAACAACTTATCCACGCCTTGGTTATATCCTGCCTTGATTACTGCAACTCCCTCCTCACTGGTCTAACGTTACACAGGCTATCCCCCTTCAGTCTATTATGAATGCTGCTGCTAGACTCATACACCTTACCAAATGATCAGCGACTGCTGCCACTCTCTGCCGATCCCTTCACTGGCTTCCACTAATCCAACATATAAAATTCAAACCACAGCTTACAAAGCCATCCACCCTCATCCGTAGATACTGCCCAAATCGCCCAGTCCGCTCCTCCCAAGATATCTTCCTCTCTAGCTCCCTTATCACCTCCTCCCACACTCGCCTGCAGGACTTTTCCAGAGCCTCTCCTGTCCTCTGGAACTCCCTACCACAGTATGTCCGGTCAGCCCCCACCCTGTCTGTCTTTAGGCAATCTTTGAAAACTCACTTATTCAGGGAAGCCTACCCCACCTCCACCTCAGAACTGTACTTGAATCACCTCCAACAGATCATCCCCCGCAGCTATCACCTTTTGTATCACCTCCCCCTTCCTTTAGATCGTAAGCTCCACAAGCAGGGCCCTCATATTCCTTCTGTACTTAAATGTATTGTAATTGTACTGTCTCCCTTATACTGTAAAGCGCTGCACAATCTGTTGGTGCTGTATAAATCCTGTATAATAATAATGATGAAGATCTTTGGAGATGGACTTGTAACCTTGAGATTGTCCATGCTTTTCCACATTTTTTTTCTCAAATCCTCAGACAATTATTTGCAGCTCTTTCTCTTCTCCATGTGGCACACAGAGACAATTTTTCACTATTTTAACTGGTTGCCAGTGTGAATTCTATATTGTCAGCACCTGTTAATTGATACAGGTGAGTTTAATTACAAATTACAGGAACATCGCAAAATTGGAATGCAATTATTTCTTACAACTTTGAGAAGGTGCCAATCATTTTGTCCAGTCTATTTTTGAGGTTCTGCATGGTATGTGTCAGATCTGGCTTTTTGTTTCTCCACATTTTTGTGTCATACCAGTACAAACAAAAGAAATAAACATGAGAATGTCTAATCATTTGAAAATGCAACAATTTTCTGGCTGAAATGGTACATTATCTGACAGAAATGCAGGGGTACCAATATTTTTGGCCATGACTGCAATTGGGCACTCTGTTACCAGAGACCCCCTAATATCACAGTTTGCCTTTGCACTAGAGTCTGCAGCAGTCCCCAGAGTTCTCCTTTACAGTGTAAGGGAATGCTGTGAGTTCAGATGTAAAGAGGAACTTTGCAGGTTCAGATGCAAAGGGAAAACCTGCGGATTCAGATGTCAAGGGGAAAACTGCGGATACAGATGTAAAGAGGAACTATGCGGATTCAGATGTAAAGGGGAACTATGTGGATTCAGATGTAATGGGATGTATGGGATAAAATCCATATGATTAGAAATGTTATTTAATATATATGTATAGTGCATACTACAAAAAAAATGATGTGTCACTAATGCGTTTGAGTTTGGCTTGAAGAAAAGGTGGCAACTCTACCCAAGATGGCACGAAGGGGGCCCACTGGAGAACATTGAAATAGTCCTGCTGTGGGACTGTAATAAAGGGTCCCATGATGGGAGTAAAGGGCTCTGAGGTCGGATGGAAGGAGGGAGGATTAGAGGGGCCCTTCATGGTTTTCTTGCACAGAAGCCCTGAATGTTTTAGTTATGCCTCTGTATATTTATATAGTGACAATATATTTCCCAGAATGCACATGACACAGCACTATGGTAGTGAGTCACACAGCCGTTCTAACTTGCAGTCACCTGGGTCATACACCAGTAGACTCAGTCTTTATGGAGTAGTAGACAAAATAATGTGTGTATAGTGCTGTTGGCGGAAAATGAGAGACAGGAATCTGGAGTAGTGGATTAACATCATATTTTGCCTGCAAACTGACAAAAGTGCAAGTAAAACTTT